CCGATAGAGTAACAGATTTTCAGTTGTCACCACTGCATAGAGCATTCAAGTGGGTCTTTTTTCATATAAAACATAGTTTTTCAAAAGTTCCTAATTATTTCAGGAAATGGAAAAGGGCAAAAATGGTGCATTTTTGCAAAACCGCGCTTACTTTTTGTCTCACACTTAGAAAACCGATAGAGTAACAGACTTTAAGTTGTTACTACTAAACAGATCATTTCAGTACGTTTTTTTCCATAAAAGTTTCTAATTATCTAAGAAAATGCAAAAGTGCAAAACCATTTTTTTCCAAACCGCGCTTTATTTCTCACTGATCCTTAGAGAATGGTTAGAGCAACTGTAGTTCCCATTCCTAAATAGAACATTGCAAGCGCCTACTTAGAAACTGGTTAGCTTTTTCCAAAATAGCTTAGGACTTTCGACAAAAATTACGATCCAAAATTCAAAAAATTCTGAAGAACCACTCTTCAATTGAACCTTAAACCTTTCTGCCGGCTCGGTAGAAATGTCGAGAGCCAAACTGCCAGAAATTTTTGAAAAATCGCCTCGGACAAAGGCACAGCAAGATTCTTCATGAATTCACTCACATAATTGTGTTGGAAAATAATAATTTGCAATTTACATTTGCCAGGCCAAAATTAGGCTCTAGAAGGTCACAATTAAATCGTAGGGATTCCACGAGCGCTGTTTTATGAATGAAATATCGATCGGCCGGATATACATGAATGTAGAATAGCGAAGGTCGGAGAAAGCGACACACAGTGGTCAGTTTTCCGGAATATTTTTCGAGAAACAACGTCTTAATTTAAGTTAATTTTGCTGGTATTGTCCCGAAATAAATAATAAATCCCTGGCTGGCTAAATTGTCGTCAACGCTTTGTTATTATTAATATTAATTTATTGCCCACATATTGGAAGAGACAAAGTGGTATTTTATTGACTGATTAACACTGATATTCTGAGCGATTGGATTGGTAACCAACATTGAAATAATCGGTTTTTTTGCGACTGAACCACATTTAAGTATCCAAACCCGAGTGATTTCTTGCAAGATCTTCCTTTAAACAACTAGTGATGTTCTGATCATCAACATTTGATAAAACCTTCCTTAAGTAGTTCGACACTTTTAGCTTAAAAAATCAACTATCTAACAGCTGTAGATTGAAGAGAACCCACCTGAAAACATGGCAGAATTTATTTTTTTTGTATGATGTTTATACGAAACATCCTTATTTGTGTGTCAACCCGAAAGTGGAAAAACGGTGAAAATGTCGATTAATACTAGCGAAACATCGGGACCTAATTCTTCGGGGAAAATCGCCCGTTTTCACAACTTCTCCTTTAAGCTCCAAATCGACAAAAAGTCGGTTTTTTAATCGACTGTGCAACATTCTCTACCCACTGTTGGTGCATGTTTTCTCATTTTTTTTCATATTCATTAGGACAGACTGTTGTCCAAAAATCGCCTACAAAATCGTACCATTGCTGAATTCAGTTCAGGCGAAATCGTGAATCATATCCTTTATAATGATCTATATTAACCTTTCGCGTGTGTAGGTTCATTTATGAATCGCCTTGCTAAAGAATGAAACACCTACAGGTAATTCCGTTTTCGTTGTTTACACGTGTGAATGCGATTGTGCGATTGTCGACCCGAAAACTTCATAATTTTTTCGGCAATTGATGAGCATTTTTCGCAAAGCATCGACTACCAAACTGTTCGGCCGATGTTGATCAAGCTTGAATGTAAATATGGAATCGATAAATAAACGAAAATGCTTGACGTAAACGCTTAATATTTCAGCTCATTTCCGAAATCGTTTTGCACGTTCGGAATTATCCGAGGATAGGAAATTGCACTCAACGTGCCCAATTTAAAAACCATAGCGCTTCAGTGACGTTGCGAATACGAGATCGAAATGCTCTTCCTAATCGCTTCCGTTCAACTTGTTTCTATCTTTTACAGAACGACGACAACTTTTCAAGAGAAAATCCCCATTAGCTCTAAACTCGATTGCTAATTAATCAACATAAACTAACACGGGAGCGACGTTAAAAACACTTGTTGGGAAAGAGGAGATGTTCATAAAAGCCGTCTTTTATGGCACCTCCTGCACAAAGCTGAATATTTGCTCAGAATGGTTATTGTTCATCCCAGACCGCGCCTTGGTATTCCAACAGTACTTTCACGCAGTCAAATTGTGTCTAATTAATTACAGTTAGTTTGGAGCGTTTTTAAATCGTCTCCTACATGTTAATCAATTTTTATTGACCACAAGTGAGATTCGTGGAAAATGCGGCCCATTCAGCAAGCTGAACTCGACTAATTAACGTGCTGAATTAATAAGAATTAGCGGTGTCAGTTGCACTGTTTTTCCAAAGAATGGAAAACTATCTAGTTTGCCTAACTGGAGGCAAGTGAACCTCCCCACTATAGATATTTCTGCCGATCGATAGCACACATTCAGGATTGTTCGCTTTTTCCAGATACTCTTTCGTTCGGACGGGGGCGTTTAGTGGAGTATAGGTAGGAATATTATTAGTGACTCATTTCCCGAAATAGAAGCGAACGGAGGAGAATGGAGAGAAGGGTAATTTCGCCCGCCGGCTGAAACTGTTATGGGGATGCTCGT